CAGGAGAGCATGGTACTAGCTTCCTCTCAGAGAGCAGCACGGCTCTTCTCGTAAACCCTTAGTGTCTAAATGCATTTAAAATTGAGGGTAGGGCACCAGCGCCAGAGGTGGGTTGGAGTACACCGACCATCCTCTGGATGCTGTAAAACGTGCCCACCCCCAAGGCCCTATATGTATGTGTTATGTGAGAGTGTGAGTAATGTGGATGTCTAGGTTGCAGAATAAAATTGAGGCACAGGCGGCCAGAAGGGGACAGAGGAGGAGTGCCTCCCCTGCACCCTGGTGACATACCTGCACCCCAAGCCCTGCGTGTGTGGGTGGGTGTGGTAGAGCGGGAATAGGGAGGCAGCTGAGGATGGGGAGGGAAGAAAGCAGATGATGTAGAATTTAACAAAGGACCCAAGATGTGGATATGCAGTGAAGTGAGAAGGCTTTATTGAGACTGAACACACGTGAATAACAAACAAAAGGTGAGAGTGGTGAAAAACAGAACTTAGAAATAAACTATACTGGGAAAACTAAAACCTAAACAACAAACCCGAACACGAGAGAAGGCAACTTCCAGGGAGAATTTACTGGATGATGCAGGGAAACAACACAGGGGAAGTACACAGGATGACAGAGGGAGATACGCAGACGAACCAGCCACGCACACAAGAAAACACAGGGCTTAAATACACACAGGGCAATCAGGGAATGGGAAACAGAGGGGAGACACGGCTCGGATAAATTAGACATAATAAGACAAGGGGAAGCGAAACTAGAAACACTGATGAGAGACACAGACCTACAAAATAAAACAGGAACTCACACATCCAAAGAGTTTGAAAACAAAACAGCCACAAAAAAACTGGAGCACGGGAAGCAGTTCAAAAACAGTTCAGGAGGCCGACCCAGCGGGTGGCGGCACAACAGTCTACAGATTAAGTCAGGGGCACGACCACATGAAAAGTGGTAGTGGCGCAGGCGACAGAGCTGGTCCAGAGGCCGACTGCGCAGAAGGAAGTGGCGGTGATGCAGACGAAGAAGATCCGGAGGTCGGCGACGACAGAGCTGGTCCGGAAGCTGGCCACGACGATGATGTCGTCTAGCCAGCGGCCTGGAACATGGCCGGTGATGTTCAGGAGATGACTGTGGAAAAGCCAGCCATGCTAGGCGTGGACGAGAAGGAGGTGTGGCAACCACAGGACCAATATAATATAATATTCTGAAAAATAACTTCAATTTTCGAACATTAAAGTGACAAATGTAGAAGAAAAAATGGGAGAATCTGTAAGGAAAAAGGGCGAATTTGCCAGGAATAAGTTGGAAAATGCAATTTTTGGTCAAGGATATTCATCACTCAGCACATGAGGTTTACTGTGCACTACGCCAAAATGAGATGACCTAATTAAATTATACTTCTAAATTGGATTTAGCAACAAAGAAATACTTGTGATCAGCACATTAAGCATCCGGGCTTTAAAGAGACAGTATCATGAACCAGACCCATTCAAAAGAAAACAACCCATTGATCTGGATGAAAATGTTTTTATATTTGTTTCTTTTGTTGTGGATGTTTTGAACAGAAAATAAAATGCCTATATCTTTAAGCTATTAATATGAAATTTGTTGTACAGCGGGACACAATCCACAAGATTATTAAAGTAATCAATCAGTTTTGACCTCAGCACAGTGTATTAGGACCACTTTTTCCCTGTAAATTTGTCATTTTGATGCTGTCTCAAACAACCACTATTCATTTCTATTTATCAATGTCATTCAAATACTCCTTGCATATATATTCTATTGGTCCTGCGTGTCTGTCTTCTGTAATGCTTTAGGTTCATCTCACAATATGCTGCAAGAAGATTTTGTCTCAACTTCATTCAGAAGTTTCTCTATCATGTTACTTATTTCTGTGTCATGAATTTTCTGCAGGTTTTCTTTTTCTTCCTGATTGTTTGCAAGTTTTATTTGGTTCTGTTGTCTTGTCAACAAGTCGTTTATTTTTGGGACATTTTCCCTGTTTTTGGTCACACATTTAACAAAGTCTTTGATTTGCGCACGATGTTTTTCTCTGCTTTCTTTTTCATAGTGGGCTTTTAGGGCCTTTAACAGGTCATACTTCTCATCTTTGTCTTTCATTTGTTTCTCGTGCTCTTCCGTCTGAGCTGCAAAGTCTTTGGTGTATTTCTCTTTGAATTCGTTGAACTCCTCTGCTTGCTTTCTGGCTTCTTCCTCATACTTCATCTTCAGATTGTCCAGCTTTTTCTTATAGCTGTCTTTTAATTCCTTACGTTCTTTTGCCTCATTTTCTTTTCTAGTTTCATCCTCTTTTCTTTTCATTTCACATTCTTTTTTTACATTCTCATATTCATCTCTCAGTCTTTGCTCATTTTGTTTTCTCTTTTGTTCTTCCTGTATTAGTTTTTCCAACCAGTCTACCCGATCCTTCTCCCGGACCGTATGTTCCATTATCATCGCCTCTCTACGCTGCTGTAGCTCCTGTTTTGATTCAGACTTTGATTTTTCTAATGCAGCAAGTTTTTCCTCCCATTCACTTTTCTCCAGTTTCCATTTGGTTTCTTCTTTTTCTCTTTTTTCTTGTGCTTTCTTCTTCTCGCTTTGCTCATTCTCCAGTTTTTCCTCCATTTCCTCGAGTTTTTTGTTTTTCTGTTGAATCTCCAGGTTTATTTTAGCACTCTGTTCTTTCATTTTTAATTTCATGGCTTGTTTTTCTTCCTCATGTTTTCTTTCCAGGTCCTCAATCTGTCTCTTCATCTCTTCTTCCTTCTCTTTTAAGATCCTCTGCACTTCTTTTTTAATCGCTGCTTCAGCCTCTTGCAGCATCTCATTGGTATAAAAAGATCCCCCGTTGTCCTTCACCATGGTGTCAATCTTTGTTATCAGCTCACTGACTTGTGTCCGATTTTCTTCATCATAGTTATTGAAGACATGGTATCTTTCTCCGCACTCAGAGATCAGCTTCTTAAAGGAGACATTGCATTCACCTCTAATGTATTCTTCAATGGACAGGTTGTCTTGTTTTAATGAATCTCCTCTTGTAAAAAGAATGATGGTGAACTTTTCTGAATTCTTCCCAAATCCTTCCTGGATGAGTTTCAGAGTCTCCTTCTCCTCTGGTGTAAGTCGACCAACCTGTAACACCAACAGGAAGACGTGTGGTCCTGGAGCCAGGCAGGTCATAAATTTCACCGTCTCCTCATGAACTTCTTCACGTGACAAAGTCGAGTCAAACAGACCAGGAGTGTCGACCACAACAACAGGACGACCGTCCACTTCACCCTGTTCTTTCTGACAACACTTGGTGACCGATTCTTGACTCGACTTGGCTTTAAACACTTTTCTTCCAAGGATGGTGTTTCCTGAAGAGCTCTTACCATTGCCAGTCTTCCCAATCAGCACAATCCTGAGACACTCTGGGCTCTGCTGCTCTTCATCACCTGCAACTTCAAAAGAAAAAAAAGAAATCTCAAATGATCATTATGTCATTATTAGTTTGTCTATAAGAAAAATAGAGGATGTATTACTGCAGTACTCACCAGTGATCATGCTTTTCTTTTTCAATTCCTCAAGTTCACCCGATAGGGTGGTACATTTTATGATTTGTTGAGATAATGTATTTACTTGGGCCTGTGCAAATGTTCGTGTTGTATAATAGTGTGACTTCTTTTTAAAGGGCCTCATCTTTTCCACAGTCTTCAACAGGTTGGGGATCTGCTGTTTGTCTTTGATGTTAAGAACAACAGATCTTCCTCCACAGCCCTGACAGAGCTCCTGGATGTCCTTGCTTCTCTTCAGAAAATTATCAACAGCTGGAGCTGTTGGATCCGACTCCACAGTGAACAGAATCACAGTGAAGTCATTGACTCGAGAGCTCAATGTGTCCTGGATGGTCTCTAACTCTCCCTTGTCTTCATCAGTGAGGGGAGCCACAGGTAGGACCAGGATGAAGGCATGGACACCCTCAGGATCACAGAGGGAGATACACCTGAGTGATTCCTCCATCACTGCCTCCTGAGGTTTTCCATACAAGGCAGGCAGCTCCACCAGGGAAACCCAACGTCCACACACCTCTCCCTGATGTTTAACACACTCTGATGAGTTGGAGGCTGAATGAAGCTCAGTCTGACCTAAAATGGCCTTGGCTGCTGACGTCTTCCCTGCTGCTCTCCTCCCACACAGAACCAGGTTCAGAGCAGAGTATCCGATGGTGACTTCAGTGAAGCTGAGGAAAGCATCATAATTTTCTTGTACAACAGTCTCGATTTCCATCAATGACTCGTGGTTCTTTGCAGTCATGCAGTAACATCTTTCTCTACAGTCTTTAAGGAGCTCAGTAAAAGAGTCAGTTGGTTTTCCTTTATGTGTGCTGATGATAACTGAGTGATTAAAAGCATTGTTGCCTAACAAGCTCAGAATGAACATTAGTGTCTTTCTGTTCTTCTCAGTAAACGTTGAAGGTTTCACTAACAGCAGCAGAACATTTGGTCCAGGAGGACAGAGACTCACACAGTCCTTCAGCTCATGTCTCACTGTTTCTACCGACAGACTGAAGACGTCTGCGGTTTTCACAACAGTCAGAGAATTTCCTCTCCAGTCTCCTCTGGCAACTTCAGAAGGCTTGTTTTTTCTTGTACCACACTGAAACTGCTCACTGCCAATGATGAAGTTGCCTAATGTTGTCTTTTTGTCCTCGCTTTTTCCAAACATCAGAATCCTGAGTCCACATACTAAAGAAAAAAAGCATTGGGTTAACACTCACTCTCATCACACAGGTTACTGTATGTAAAATAGACCATGACACTTATCATTACCTTTTGAAGGTTTCAATTTAACACTAGCATTCTCTTGGCTGTGGCATTCATGAGAAGAAGTCAGATCTGGCATTGGATCCTGAAATACATCACAGCTCAAGTGTCCATTGTTCTCTTTTGCAATCTGACCCATCCGTGTTAGCAGCTCTGAATAGTCAAAGTTCTTCTCATTCAAAAGTCCGTATTTACTTTTTTTGATGATGTCGTTTAAGGGTTGATTTAATACATCTTCTTTCATGGCACCTGAACTCTTTTCTCTGGGAGCTGATTTCAGAACCAATGAATGATCAAATGAGTGATCACTGAAGAGCTGAAGGACTCTGCAGAGCTTCTGTTTTTGTTCCTCTGTGAAATCATCAGGCTGTAGAACCAGCAGGAACACATGAGGACCAGGAGCAGAGAGTTTCACACATCGTTTTACATCTTCTCTCAGTTTGTCTTCCGAGGTGTTGGGTAGCAGCAGGTCTGGAGTATTAATGACAGTTATTTGTTTTTCCTTAAAGGGTATACTGACTTTGAAACACCAGTCTGGTGCTTTTTCAGTACTGAACTTGTCCTTTTTTAGTATCGTGTTCCCCACTGCTCTCCTCACTGCCCAGCTGTTCCCCAGGAGCACCACCCTGAGCTCAGACACTGAAAAGAAAAAAAAAGTAAAAAGACAAACTCAGGTTTACATGCAGATGTTTTGCTTAACCGTAGACATGAAATGAATGACAGAAATCAAGCTTATGTGCAATTGAAATAAGGCACATATATTTCCATATATATATATATATTATAAAGACTTACGGTGTGGTGGCAGAAAGTCATAGCTGGAACGGCGTGTCAGTGGTTTCACATTTGGGAAATCTGTGACTGTGAGGAAACAATGTGAAAAAATAACTAAAGTTATAGCATGGATTTTTTTAAACAACATTTTTTCCTCAGAAGGGAGGGTGTGCTGTAAGAGCCAATTATGGCTAATGTATAGAATATTTGTCATGGTCCCTTGTTTTTAACTCTCATGATATCCTTTTGGGTTTTGAGGAGTGGTTTTGTTCCAAGTGTTTGTTACTGTTGTTTTGGTTCTCCATTTTGTGTCTCTGGGTAAGTTATTGATGACTTTTGTTTTTTCAGTTCTCTTTGTCTCTTCCTGGGGGAAGTAAGTCTCGTCTCCATATTTGCTTAGCTTTCTTTTTCCCCAGCTGTGCCACTGTCTCTGTCGCATGACATTTTTTTTCCCACTTTTATTCTCAACGTGTAAAATGTTCGTATTCACACTCAGTTAGGTAGTTCGGTTATTTTATTTAGCTTATTGGGGCCTATATTGCAGGGGGCAGCAGCTGAGAGCAAGAGACACTCTTCACTCTCCTCCAGCACAACTGGTTTCAACTTCAAGGTGTTCCCCGGCAAGCCGAGAGATATAATCTCTCCAGTATGCCCTCAGTCTTCCCCATAGCCTCCTCCCAGTAGAACATGCCCAGAACACTTTGTCTATCAGACATCCTAATCAGATGGCGAAACCATGTCAACTAGCTCTTTTTGATGTGTCCCTCCCAAATGAATGAACTCGTCACTCTATCTGTAAGGTTGAGTCCAGCTACACTTCAGAAAAAACTGATTTCTGCCAATGTAGATCTACCAGTAAATTAACAGCTTTGCTTTTATGCTCAGCTCTTTCTTCACTACAGTGGACCAGTACAGGATTTTAATTAGCACATACGATAACTAATATAGGCTAAACTGCTACAGACTATTAGAAAATCTTAATCTTACTGGTATAACACAAGTTGTCAGGCAAGAAGCGGATGTAATTTATCATCCTATTATAGTTTCCTATTTTGGTTGAATTGTATTGTCAAAAAAAAAAGCTATGGACATTGAATTAAAATGCAGAAAGAATCCTTGAATTTGGAAATATCTTTTTATATTAGGCTAAAAATGTTACCTGCAGCAGCTCCCAGTTAATTAGAATTTTATTATAACGTTCATTAGTCTGTAAATTCTGTTTCACTGTTACGTTTAGCTTTTGGCTGACTGCACAAAGACTGAGAGATGATGAGAGAGCGAGAGAAAAAGAAACAGGTAAGAGTCAACATGTAGTCCAAGTCAGCAAGAAATTATACAGTCAGTGTACCTTCTATTTTCCCTACATTCACTGATGATGATCGTTTTACATAACTAAGCAGTGTGCCATACTGTTATCAAATGTGGATCCCCAGCCTGCTGGAATAATAAATTTGATTAATTTATGTGTCAAGGACCCAGGGTCTGAGGGAGCCAGGGTCTGAGGGAACCAGGGTCTGAGGGAGCCAGGGTCCTTGAGCAGTCTGGACACTCATTATCATTACTGTTTATTATAGGTGTTTTAGCTGCACTGTGCTGCCATTCTGTGTTCCACATTTGTATGTATAGGCAGGTGTGTGCGAGCGTGTGGGCGTATGTGGTTGCATCCTTGTGGGTGGCTGTAGCTCAGGTGTCAGAGCAGGTCAGCCACTAATCAGAAGGTCGGTGGTTCGATCCCAGGCTGCATCCTGGCTGCATGTCAAATATCCTTGGGCAAGATACTAACCCCGTGTTTGCCTGCTGGTGGTGGTCAGAGGGCCCGGTGGCGCCTGTGTCCGGCAGCCTCGCCTCTGTCAGTGCGCCCCAGGGCAGCTATAGCTACACTCATAATTCTTATTCTCATGTATATATCTCATGCACATATCTTTCTACATAGCACTTTTAATTCTTATTCTTACTTTTATTTTTTTTTTTCATGTCTATTTAAGTGCTATTTATGACACTATGTTTGCACTGAAGCACCGCAGCAATTTCCTAATGTTGTAAACCTCAACATCTGGCAATAAACCCCATTCTGATTCTGATTCTGATTCTGATTCTGAATGTAGCTGCCATCACCAGTGTGTGGATGTGTGTGTGAATGGGTGGGTGACTGGATGTGTAAAGCGCTTTGGGGTCCTTAGGGACTAGAAAAGCGCTATACAAATACACGCCATTTACCTTCAGGCCACACCTGAAGACCATGTCACGCACCTGCTGCTGATGAGGCTCATCGGGGGAGCTATTTAAGGGTGTTAGGAAGCTCCTACCAACGTGGGATTGTAGCATAAGACTCAGTGTCTGAGCTTAGTGTGAAGCCAGTCATTGCATGCCAGCAAGAGTTTGTGTCTTTAGTATTTTTCCCCAGGAGGAGCGTGGAAACAGGAAGGCAGCGAGCATGGGGAGTGTGAAGACACGGGAGCGGACAGCACAAAAGCACGAACTTTTTGGGGAAGACACCACCCGGCAGTCAAGGGAGAGCATAAGGAATTAGTGTCATTTGTTGTACTGTAAATAAACACACTGTTCAGCATATAGAGTCCAACATTTGGGTCCTCATTCCCCACTTCCCCACAGTCTGCCACACAGACCGTGACATTATTTCATGTTTTAGGTTAATATGTTTGTGATTGTCAACACAAAGAAGAAGTGAGGCATCTGGAGAGATAGAAGGCCGAAAGATTGTACACGACGAGAAAAGATGAGGTTACCGAATCAGTAGATGGGGAAGTAAGGTGGAACACCAACAACTCTTTGGCCAAATGTGAAAAAATAGATTGGCACCCATTTCATAGATGCCTTGTGTGGTTTCCAACAGCACACTTAAAAAAAAAATCAGTGGAGATTCTACATAGAACACAATAATTGATATGAATGTTGGCAGCTGGGAATCAGACCTCAATACATGACAGTGCTTTAAAGAATGATTGCACTCACCAGCTCCTGCAGCTGCCATGTACTCTGCTAAAAACATCATAGATTTATCTGGAAATAAGAATAAAGTATTTCAATTTGTTGATAGCCATGATTTATTATAATTAGTAAATGTTAAAGCAATAGAAATGAATGCTTATGTATGCCAGCACTGTGTGTGTAAATCTGGAGGATTTCTTAGAAAGCTTTGCCCTGTAACATTTCATCATCACACTTACAAAATAAAATTATGCAGTTAGTCTAATTCATCTGTAATTAGCAAACAGATTGCTGCTAATAAAATCTGTGATAGATAGATAGATAGATAGATAGATAAACATCTATATCTATATACACCAGTCTGTTTTAAACTACAGACGTGAAAATGGCGGAATGTTGGATTAAAATAATCAGTCACATCGAGGCAACTTCAAATGTTTTTTTTTTCAAATTGGTTGAATTTAATTTAAATAAGTTTAATAAGATTACTTTGCTATTAACCAGAAAACTGTCCAGTTTTGTTTTGGGGTAACGACATTGTTTCGCCTCAAATGAGCCGCATTTATCTGAACTGAAGCAGAAATGTGTTAAAATCCAGAGTTAAAGGTGGGTCAGAGTTTTTCTGCAGTTTGAAATAAAGTCATTAATAACATATTTTTCATCCCAGCCTTAATTTTTCACCAGTAATAACATGAACGCGACCTCACCTCAGAATTTTTAATCATCCGTTTGTCTTCAAAGTTTCTTTTCCGCGGCCCATCACCAATC